TTTAAATGCTTCAAACCTGTGATTGATAAAAGGGTTGTTGAATTACCTACATAGTTACTGTGCTTTGCCATGTAATTAGGTTGTCAGGTTTGCTATAAGCGGTAATTCCATGTAGTTATAAGGGTTCGTGCATTGTTGTCCAATGGCACCACAAAATCCTAAGTCTTTCAAAAGTATTACATTGAGTTCACACAACATGGTAGATTAGACTAAAAATAGAATTAGGGTGCTTGGTATTCAGCACGCTGTAGAATCTCTTACCTTGGGTAAATCAGAACAGCATATTATGCCATAATGTGATTGATTTACTTCAATATGACATGTTATGCCACCCTATAATTGTGTTTATTAATCTAGGCTTAGAGTTCACTGCCCATAAAGGCCATTGCAGTACATTGTTCAGGCCAGTGGTGGGATTCAATTTTTTTAACTACCGGTTCTGTGGGCATGGCTTGGTGGGCGTGGCAGGGGAAGGATACTGAAAAATATCCAGTCAGAGGTGGTATTTGCCGGTTCTCTGAACTACTCAAAATTTCCACTACAGGTTCTTCCAGAATTGGTCAGAACCTGCTGAATACCACCTCTGATTCAGGCTGAGATGGAGGTGATTAAGGTTCAAATCATGATCAGCCAGCAGTCTTTGGGTGACTTTCAGCAAGGGACTGTTACAGGAAGAGTCCCAAACAGAGGTGGTGTTCAGCAGGTTTTGACCAGTTCTGGAGAACCGGTAGCGGAAATTTTGAGTAGTTCAGAGAACCGGCAAATGCCACCTCTGACAGGAGTTTTTACAGTATCCTTCCCCTGCCACGCCCACCAAGCCACGCCCACAGAACCGGTAGTAAAAAAAATGAATCCCACCTGTGGTCCCAAATGAAGATGTTTCGCTTCCCATCCAAGAAGCTTCTTCAGTTCTGACTGAATGGTGACTGACCATTCAATCAGAACTGAAAAAGCCTCCTAGATGAGAAGTGAAATGTCTTCAAGGAAAAACAAAGAAATTCCAGTTGCCTTTTGGAACAACCAGGACCTGGATGACTGAGAACCTCAATAGACAATTACTGGAAGGTAACACCGAAGAGAAGCATCTGTTTTACTTTGCTCAAACTCTCCTATTTCTTTGTGAAAGATAAGTCTGCAAAAACACTATCAATTTCTAAGCCTTGGGTAAACATGAGACGTTACAGGATGTTTATACTCTATTTTAAAAGGAGTTTTCTCAGGAAACACACATTCATGTGTCAGGCACATTAAGACACGTTGTGCAAAATGCTCCATCTGTTAGCAGACTCAAGCCTACGGTTCAAGGTGCTTACGAAATAGGAATAAGGTTGCAATCAAACAGACACATTTTGCCCTCATACCATAAGCTCAAAGGTCTCCATTACTTTGTGCCAAATCGTGCTTACTCCTTCTGGAACCTTGGGGAAATCCCACTTTTTAATGATATCCTGTGTCTCATTTCTTGAACAGGCCTTGATTGCCAGACCAACAGTCACTATGAACTCTGTGGGCCTCCCTGCCAGGATGTTTGCTCGCATGTTTGGGCCCAGCTTCATTGCCTTCCCACGTGCTCTGAAGGATGCTTCTGTGACCCCGGGTATTTGCGCAGCGGGGAGAGTTGCATTCCAGAACAACAGTGTGGCTGCATATACAATGGGCTGAATTATAAGGTAAAATCCTAGTTCCTAACCAGGTGACACCATATAATACTGGGTGACTACCGTGGCATAATGTCTCTCCTGAACTTCCCTTAGTTTTGACCTAGAATGCTAATAACCTCCATCTAAACATCCAGTGATGGTCTTCAAAGAACCTACCTTGGGGATACCATGATACAGAGGTGGGATTCAGCAGATTCTGACCAGTTCTGGGGAACCAGTAGCAGAAATTTTGAGTAGTTCGGAGAACTGGCAAATACCACCTCTGACTGGCCACACCTCCACCTATTCTCTGCGTCCCGAGGCCCAGCTGATCAGCCGGGTCTTCTTTGGTTGTCCTGCACAGGAGAATGGAGCTGGAAAGCAGGTTAGTGGGATGGGGAGGGAATGGGGATTTTGCAGTAACCTTCCCCCGCCACGCCCACCAAGCCACACCACGCCCACCAAGCCATGCCCAAAGAACTGGTAGTAAAAATTTTTGAATCCCACCATTGCCACGATAGCTATCCTGCCTATTGATGTTCTATTAGTATCTAGAACCACAAGTATCAAAGGAGGTCCAAGAGATTCATGGTACTGAAGGCAGGCACTGAGCTGGGCTTATTGACTTGGTTAGGACACTGTCCTGTCAACTTCCTTGAATTCTGGTTCATCTCCTCTTTCTTCTCTTTGCTGATGGAGGAGAGGCAAACTAAGTGGTCTGTCCACGAGAGGAACTAGAAGCTTTTTGTGATCCTGTTTTAAGGGTGATAATATCTGTTTTTAGCAGACGGATTTTGAACTCTAGAACAGGCAGTAAATGTTATAAATCAGGCCAGGGTATTATTCGGATTATAAATTACGAGCAAGCATGCACCTGCAAGTACAGAAGAATAACAGAGCAATTCAGATCAAAGCAATAATAATAAACAGAATTAAAAATAGTGCTTAAAGTATCATGAATACTTTATCAAGGATCAGGCTTGCTTCCAACCCTTCTGGGAAAAAATCAGACTTCTGTTTCAAGGGCAAAAGACCATTCATTTTATTTGGTCAAATGTTTCCGGCAGAGGAAATAGCTAAACCAGATGCATCTTGCTGAGAGCAGAAATGTTCTTCTAAAGGCATTTTTTTTAAAAAAGAAAGGAGACTTTATCCTTGCCAAATGTAATACAGTAAGCAAGGGCAGAAACCCCAACAAATATTTACAGTGAAGGAGATCAAAGCCACCTTTCACATTTTAATTCAACAAGGGCAAAGAGCAACCACTATTCATAGTTAAGGGCGAAATCATCTTTAGAATTTCTTTAGAGAACATTTTAGAGATCATTTTTGGAGGGGTAATAAAATGGGTAGTTTAGCTCAGGTCTGAGCATGTTGCATGATACCAAGGAGTTGTGTTGATAGGTGTTGCTTGGACGTCATAATCCATTAACAAATTAACAGAGTTGGAAGGGACCTTGTAGATTGTCTAGTCCAACCCAACCCAAGCAGGAGATCCTACACCATTTCTGATAGACGGCAGTCCAGTGTCTTCTTGAAAGCCTCCAGTGATGAAGCTCCCACAATTTCTGAAGGCAACTTCTGTTCCATTGGTTGATTGCTCTCATTGTCAGAAAATTTCTTTTTATTTCCAGGTTGAATCTCTCCTTGTTCAGTTTCCATCCATTATTCCTTGTCTGGCCTTTGGGTGCTTTAAAAAATAGTTTGACCCCCTCCTCTCTGTGGCAGCCCCTCAAATATTGGAAGGCTGCTATCATGTCTCCCCTGGTCCTTCTCTTCAGTAGACTAGCCATGCCCAGTTCCTGCAACCATTCTTAATGTTTTAGCCTCCAGTCCCCTAATCATCCTGGTTGCTCTTCTCTGCACTTTTTCTAGAATCTCAACATCTTTTTTATAGTGTAGTGACCAAAACTGGATGCAGTTGTGTGGCCTTACTAAGGCTTTATAGAATGGTATTAGTGCCTCCCTTGATCTTGATTGTTGGGGGGAAAGCAGGCAAATTGGTCAGTTTGAAAGAAAAACAAAGGAGAAACAACCATTTATCAGGGTCCCTAAAGAAAACACCATCTCTAGCACTCTGAACAGTGTGGTGAGGTCTTACTAAGGCTTTGTAGAGTGGTACTAGTACCTCCGTTCATCTTGATCCTATGAACTTCATTGTTAACATTTCTTTGCAGATTGGGGACCGGGTCTGGCTGCCTGGTTGCCATGAGCAGTGCAGTTGTTATGGCCCCTCTGACTTCCGCTGCGTTGCTGCCAGTTGTAATCCTGGACAGACATGTACCATGAAGGATGGGAAACTAGGCTGTCACTCTCCGTGGGGAACCTGCACAGTGACTGGGGACCCTCATTACTTCACTTTTGATGGGTCGGTGGCACATTTCCAAGGCACCTGTGCCTACGAGATCTCAAAGCTCTGCAATGCCTCCTCTCCGTTCTTCTTCCGGGTTGTGGCCCAGAATCAACATCAGGGAAACTCTTTGGTGTCTTTTGTAACTCGAGTGGAAATTTGGTTGAAGAGCAGCATGCTCAGCTTCCTTATCGTCCTAAAGACTGGTCTGATTGTAGAGGTATGTGGAATATTGCCATATGTGATTGCTACATCACAGTTGCTTTTGTGCCTTTCTGCTCTGCCAAAGACTCATTCCAGGGATATTTTAGAACATTGAAGAGATGGAATTCTGCAAGTTATTAACATTTATCTTTTCATGAAGAAAGGTCTACTCATAGGGTAGGTGAGTAACTTATCCAGTTAGTACTCAGAGTTTACACAAATTAATGTTAGAATCTCTGTCCTAGATCACCATATCTTCCAGTTCTTGCTAGAATAGGTCAATGGTCCATCTAGTCCAGCATTCTTCTCTGATGTCCACTAGATGTCTGTTGGAAGTCTGTTGCTGTCCTTCTTATGTAGTACGTAGCAAGTGACATTTAGACCCAAGTTGTCTTTGATTCTGGGGCTGGCCTGTGACCGTGAATGGCCTTTTTCTTCACTAATTCATTTAATCCCCTTTAAAACAATCAGACTTGATCATCATCACTGCTTCCGGTTAGCCAAATACAGCTATCACTGCTTTGTGAATGAATACTTTAATCTCCTAAAATTCCCACCATTCACCTGTCAGTGTTCCAGCAACCCTCCATTCCAACCAATAACTCCAAGACAGACTTCTCTCAAAGGTTCTTTTATTTGGATAGTAACTGGAACATCTGTGGAATCCTGAATCTGAAAGTTTCGGGCTTCCTTGCAAAATTCAAAACTACAAATCTATCCCCCCTTAACCATCATCACATCACATGGTCTAATCATCATCCGTCCTAAAGTAAGATTCCCATTTCATTATGCGCCACACTCAGTGACCTTGAACCAGCAAAAGAATTTTATTTTGTCTAACTAGATATACTCCAATGAATTCCTCCCTCCCACTTTCTCAGGCTCTATTGTGGCAGCGTGGGAGCATCGGATCCCAATATGGCTTGCAAAGCTGACATCACCTTTAAGGAATGACTCCCAAATTCCACCATTATAGGAAAGGGATAAAAAAAATTCTGTTGACCGCATTCGTGATTTAGATATAACTTATCCAGCTCACTTCCCTAATTCTACTTTCCTTTTTTTCAGGTCAACCAGGAAACGGTGGAACTGCCCCATACCTTGGAACTCACGGGCTTCATTTCCAAGATAAAAAATATGGTGATTGTAAAATTAGCAGCAAATGTAGAAATCCATTATAATGGCCAACATACTCTGTTCATCAGAGTGGGACCAGAATACCAGGGGAAGCTGTGCGGAATGTGTGGGAATTTTAATGGTGTTTCAGAGGATGATAAGGTGTTGCCCGATGGAAGCAGAGCCCAGAATGATTTGCATTTTGGCAATGCCTGGAAAACAGAGACCAGCCCAGCAGGGTAAGAAAAGGTTCAAAGAGGATGTGTTAAGCCTTGCTGCTCCCTTGTGAGTCCAATGAAATCAAAGTCATTGTGCATTCCAAAATAGATGCAAGTCTATATATATATAAAAGTGAAAAAGCACTCACGTGTCATCACAACATCTTCAGAACTGTAAAGCCTACAAACCTGAAATTTGGCACGTATGTTCCTCTTGGCTTTTAGGTGCTCACTAAGAAAGGATTTTTCGAAATGACCATCAGAGCATTAGTATTTCGTATGTATTATTATTAATACACTCTGATGCTAAGGAGTTCTACTCCCTCTCCCCACCTGAACAGAAATCTGTTCCAAATACAAAACACAAGCAGAGGAGAGGGGTTTCAGTTTTAGTTTCACAGCACCAAGCAACTTTAGTACAGAACAGTTGAGCTAAGCCACGCCCAGGCTCCTTGCTGTCTCCTTCTTGCTCACACAGCAAATACTGTTTCAGTTTCCATGTTTCAGTTTCCAAACAGCCCTCAACTCTCAGCCCTCTCACACACTGACAGGACGTTAGCCAGATGAATACCGATGGATGCTGATAGGCAGAGGTACAATTTTTCCCCTGATTTTCCTCCCCCGATCACATAGTTTTGTAGTGAAGCATGGCTGGTATTGTATAAAAGAAACACTGCCAGAGCTTGATGGTATTACAGGTGTATTATTAGATTGTGATGTCGACTTTTTCATGTGTTTATAGAGCTAGGAATACATTTTATGCTATTGCTAATAACGCAACACCAAGGAAGGCATCTGAATCAACATGTTTGATAAAACATTGTTGCTTCGTTTCCTGCATTTGCTAGAGTTGTTATTTGTTGTATCCTCTTGTATTTGTTTAAATTTTGCTGTGGAGCTTTTAACAAAACCAAGGCCTCTTGCTTGGCTGTTGTTGCTACTTTATGAAGGTGTTTGGATGACAATTCCACCCTGGAGCCCTGTGATGAAAATCTGCAGGAATACGGAGAGCTCTGCGGGATTTTGGTCAGCCAAACGGGGCCTTTTGCCAAGTGCTCCTGGCACTTGGACCCTTCCCCGTTTTACTTGGCCTGCCTGTATGATTTATGCCACTACGGGAGCCATAACAACATGCTGTGCACCAGCCTTGCGGCTTATGAGGAAATGTGCTTCCTTGAAGGAATTCAGACGGCAAGCTGGAGGGCTTCCATCCAATGCCGTGAGTGTCCATCTTTCTCTATGGTCCAAAAAATTTGGGAAGACCTCTTTTGAATAATTTTATTCAAAGTTGTGAAAAGAGGTAAAAGGTCATATAAACTATTTATTTATTTTATTTATTTTATTTATTTTATTTATTTTATTTATTTTATTTATTTTATTTATTTTATTTATTTTATTTATATTGCCGCCTATTCGCCCACAGAGACTCGAGATGGCTTACAGAATGTAAAACCATATTTAAAACAAAATAAAAAAATAAAAACTAACAAAAAGAATCAAATAAATTAATAGAGTACAATAAAACAAAATCTGGGGGGGGAAATCACCCCCCCAATTCCCACCCACCCCTCTGCCCCGACGACAGCAGATCGCATGAACCATTAGATGGGCTCCATCCTGCTTTGGGTTCCCCAGGCCCGCTGGCAGAACCAGGTCTTCTTCAGTGCCTTTCGGAGGAGTGCCAGAGTGGGGGCCATTCTAATCTCTGGGGGAATGATATTCCAGAGAGAGGGAGCCACCACGGATAAGGCCCTTCTTCTGGGTCCCACCAGGTGTATCTCCCTCAGGGGTGGGACCCGCAACATTCCCTGCCTCCCCTTTCTGATGGGTCGGGTAGATGTGACCGGCAAAAGACGGTCCCTCAGATAATCTTATTATAGAGTAAGGAAGAAAAAGAAATGGAAAAGAAAGCTAAAAAAAGGAAAAAGGAAAGAAAACTAAGCACAAGGAGAAATGTTTAGGGCAGGGAAATGATTCAGTGTCCATGCCATAAATCCACTTCCAGTCCCCCCACCACCCCGCAGATATATTCAAAGCAATAGGCCATGTTGTTAAAGTATTAAGATTTAGAAACTGACCAGTTGTGAGTACCTGCAGGATTCTGTGAAGCTGATGTAAGTCTGGCTGATGTAAAGAGAGTGGTTCAACAGAGTATGGGTATTTCCCTTTAAGGCTGGAGAGTAAAGTTCCCTTTAAGAGGTGTGTATGTAAAGGCAGCCATTAGAGGGTGTGGTTCTCTTTCCTTGTGACCAGTGTTCAGTGCAGAAGTTCTCTGTGTGTTAGGAAGAAGAAAAGCTTGCTTGTAAATGTATTTTGCCTACCACATGTATATTATTTGTATATACCTATTGTATATTAAACCACTGTTAGTGTCTAAGTCTCTGTGTGCTGTGTGTTGCTCCTGGGTAGTTATGCTGCCAAACGCTCTGACGCATGTCTTTATTGGCTGCTACTTTAGACTGACAAATCTGATTCCTAATGAAACTTCTGGAGATCTATAACAAATAACCCCGGGATTGTTGAAATGCTCTGAATCACTGCCATCATTGCTTCATCCAAGGAAGGGGAGAGGAAAATCACGAGGACCGAGGACCAAACCTGTTGCTACTAAACCTCTTGTTCCTTCTGCAGCGGCCACTGACCCCTGCCTTGACTTGGCTTGTGGAGACGATGAATGGTGTGGGGAAAGGAGAGGGAAATGGGGCTGCTTCTGCCACAAATCTTACAGCCCCACTGAGAGGGCTGACTATGGTAAGCAAAAGCCTGAGCTGGTTTCGTTTTTTTCCCCTTTGTGCCATTTGTCTTTGAATACGAATTTGTTTCCTGTTCAATGCCGCTGCAGCAGAGAAGCCTGCAGGGGGCAGTGTCCCCCTCCACACACAAAAAGTCAAGACGGCACTGATGACGTAACCTAGTTGGGTAGTAAAAGGTCTACAAGAAAACAACCAAGTTCAGAGAGCACCAAGAACCCCTCGTGTCAACTCTGAGCTAAAATATTCTCTTTTATTGGTACTGGGATCATGGGATGGAAGTCCCGTTCCGTTTTTACAAGCTTCACATGTAAAAAAAGTGGCAGGAGTTTGATCTTCTGGTTGCAGTGGCCTGATGACTTCAACCCTTTCTCCCAGACTTCTGTTTTCGGCATCCACATGATAACCCTCGAGTTGATCTCCCTTGAAACTGGCATCAAGTGAGGAAACATGTATTTATGCACGAACCAATGCTCAGCTTTTCATTTTCAGCCTCTGTACTCTTATCTCTTTCTATCTGGGTTCAGTGGCTCCAGCTGAGCCTTTCAAAAGCTTAATCATTCACGGTCACAACTTTGACCCACGGTTTCCTTTAAAGTCCCCTCCGTCCCTTCCTTCCCTTCCTTCTCTTCCTTTCCTTCCTTCCTTCCTTCCCTCCCTCCCTCCCTCCCTCCCTCCCCCCCCCCTCCCTTCCTCCCTCCCTCCCTCCCTTCCTTCCTTCCTTCCTTCCTCTGCTTCTCTATGTCCTTCGCGGTGCGCCTCAGAATTGGGACCAGAGGACCTCCAAGGTCTCTTCCAACTCTACCGTTCTGTTAAGCCAAATATCACTTTATATTCTTCCTTCCTACAGATTACCAGCTGACCTGCACGAACGGCAGAAGTATGGTTGCTCTCTCCCGCTGCCTTCTTTTCACCGACGGATTCCCTGCTGAAAGACTCCACTTGGCTGACCTCAGTTGCACGGGATCCTTAGTTGGAGACCGACTTGTCTTCTACTTTGATACGGTGCAGAAAACCTGTGGGACCCAAATGGAGGTAGGGAGCCCCAGAAGCACCTGAAACAGAGAGCTTGCCCCCAAATAGTTGCGTCTTTAGTTGGAAGAGCCTGCTGTCGAAAGGATAAGATGAAGGGCAGTTAAGGAGACTTCTAGACAAGGCTTTCGCAAAATTCAAACCAGATAAATAGAATACAGGTAGTCCTCAATTTATGACCATTTGATTATGGACCGTTCAAAGTTAAAAGGGTTCTAAAGAAAGTGACTTATGTCTTAACCTTGCATTCACAAGCATTGCAGCATTCCCACAGTCCTGGGATTAGAATTTGTGTGCTTGTCAACCAGCATGAATTTTTGACATTTGCACTGTCCTGGGATCATGGGATCACCATTAATGATCTTCTAAGGGATGCGGTGGCTCAGTGGCTAAGATGCTGAGCTTGTCGACCAGAAAGGTCAGCAGTTCAGTGGTTCGAATCCCTAGCGTTGCATCATGGAGTGAGCTCCCGTTACTCGTCCCAGCTTCTGCCAACCTAGCAGTTCGAAAACATGTAAAAAAATGCAAGTAGAAAAATAGGGATCACTTTGGTGGGAAGGGAACAGCGTTCCATGCGCTTTTGGTGTTTAGTCATGCCGGCCACATGACCACGGAGACGTCTTTGGACAGCGCTGGCTCTTCGGCTTTGAAACGGAGATGAGTACCACCCCTTAGAGCCGGAAACCACTAGCACGAATGTGTGAGGGGAACCTTTATCTTTTAAGGGGACTTCTGACAACCCAAATCAACGGAGAAGTCAAATTTCCTTAATGAGTTCATCATTTGCTTAACAACCATGACAAAAAAAGGCAGTAAAATCAGATGCAACAACAACATCACTTAACAATAAACAATTCCAGTCCTAATTGGTGGTCACTTGAAGTCTACCTGTAAATGAATTGCCTATTCCTTGATTAACATATTCCTAGACAACCACGTTGCAATAAGAAGCCATTGTCCTCTGTTTTTTTTCCCCTCCCAATTTTTTTCTCTCCTGCTCTTTCCAGGTAAATTCTACCCATGCTATCTACACCAATGTAGTGCAGGGTCATCTGGAGAACACCTATGGTGGGATGATCAGCCGAGACCGGTTCCTTTTCCTGCGTTTCTCCTGTGCTTTCCCACTAAACATCAATCTCTCCATGGCCTCTGTCATTTATCCCATCCACGAGTGAGTTCACGCTGGACAAGTTTCCCAGGGCAGCAATTATACTTGCCTTCTTCCCCTTCTTAAAGCCCCAGACCTTACCACACAGTTTACTTTTGTGTCCTTTGATTCAACTTTCCTGGTGCCTTCCATTTGTAAAAAAGAATCTTTTTATTTGCTGTTTCCTACCACATCTTTTTTCTCTCCCCTTCCCCCATCCTACCACACCCCACATTCTAGAACCCTGAGTGGTACGTGGGCTGTACGACCCTGTCTAGTTTCTATCCTGTGGCCTCCAGCCATGCACCCTGCTTCAGATCACAGCACCAATTTTTTTTTTATAGCAATGAGACCAGTAAGGGGAAAAGTCAATATGTCCACGTTGAGTAGATAACACCTCCAAATCGTTCCATATTGTGGTTAGTATTTCCTTCTCTACCACTGGGTGGCAGATCTTCCTCAAAAATAACCCATTCCTTTCTTTAGGAATCTGGGAAAAAATAGAGCACTCGTTCATTGCTTAGAATTATTTATGATATGGATATAACCACCAGTGAGGCATGGCATCTCTAGGCGGTACATAGGATTAAAAACCCATGTACTGTAATGCAATGGGTTGTAAATGCATTACAAATGATGTAAAAATACATTGGTGGCATTCACAGATCCTGCTTCCTTGATTACTTGGTTGGCCAACTTGGAGGTTACTCAAGAAATTGAATCATAATCTAATCAAACAGCCTGAGATACACTGAATAACAAAAAGTCAAACCCAGGTTTTCTCAACTTTGACAACTTTAAGATTTGACAAGTTGAGGAATTCTGGGAGCTGAGATCCACACATCTTAAAGTTGCCCAGGTTGAGAAATACTAATCTAATCACAGTGAAGCCTTAGTATGTTATACAAATGTAACTACTAGGTTTATAACTGACCTGGTTAAGTGTTGTATGAAGTGTCTATTTCGCAAGGACCATAAATTGTTCCGTGTATCCTAAGATCAATAGCCACATTTTCAGCATACTCCTGGTCCATAAAAAATTCAAGTCGTGCTTTCATGCTAGAGGGAAGCATTGGTGCTTCACCAGAGTAGCTTAGTTTAAGCAAAGTTAGTGTTTTGAGCTCTTGCCCAGACATTTAGCTTAGCCTTAAGCATCCATAAAACAAGACTCAGAATTTGATCCAGGATCTCCTTATTCCTGTACAGTTTATATATGGAAATATTGCTTTAGAATTGTTATATGAGTGTTCAGCCAACCCTACAGGATCTAACCAAAGGTCTCACCAAGACCTCCATTCTGCTATTTCTTAACCATTTTCTTCTTGCCTCTCTCCCATCACTTGCATCGTCCTACAACACAAGTGATGTTGTCCACTTGTCCTACAACACAATTATTTCTGAGAACCTGTGATGTTTCCTTAATGCTTCCTCCAAAACTTTTGTCAAAAACCATTATAATCCTCTTCTGTTTTATTCCTTTGGTAGCATCATTAACATGACCGTCTCCTCTGGCCAAGGAAACTACCAGGCCATCATGACCTTGTACCAAGATCCCCAGTACAGCAAACCGTTTACCCAAAGCCCTATTGTGCTCATGGTCAACCACAGGGCCTATGTGGGCATCAAGATTTTGGGAGCTGACCCTACGCGATTTGTGGTCACCTTGTCCTCATGTTGGGCCACGCCGGATAGAGATCCTTCTTCCAGCATTCAGTGGGATCTCATCACCAACCAGTAAGCTGTTCATGGGAATTGAAAGGAAACAGAGTTTGGAATGGAGAAGACTTCTTGTCTCCCCCACTACCATCCCCAGTAGTGAAGGATATGAGGTCATTTAGTGACATCTGAAAGAGCAGGTGTTTCTCATCCTTCTGCTTAATGGGGTCAACCATTCAAAGTCACCCCAAAGATTTTTTTGGGGGGGGGGGAGAAGAAATACAGAAAGTTGAGGAGATACAGCATTGGTTGCCTTTGAGATAGTAATAACAAGATTCCTAATTACTGGCATCAGAAGCTAACTGGCAAACAAAGTTGCAGTACTAAGAATAATCTGCTTTTGGCTTGATTTATGCATATAGTCCTCAACTTATGACCACAATTGAGCCCAAAATTTCAGTTGCTAAGTGAAACCGTTATTAAGTAAAGTTTTGCGCCATGGTGGGCGTGGCATGGCTTGGTGGACGTGCCTTGGTGGGCGTAGCAGGGGGAGGATACTGTAAAATCTTCATTCCCTACCCACTTTGGGGGGAAGGTTACTGCAAAATCCCCATTCCCTCCCCACCCCACTAACCTGCTTTGCAGCTCTGTTCTCCTGTGCAGGGCAACCAAAGGAGACCCAGCCGATCAGCTGGGCCTCGGGAAGCAGAGAAGAGATGGGGGCGGGGCCAGTCAGAGGTGGCATTTGCCGGTTCTCCGAACTACTCGAAATTTCCGCTACCGGTTCTCCAGAACTTTTCAGAACCTGCTGAATACCACCTCTTGTCTGATCTTACCTTTCCCTCTGCAGGTGTCCCAACCCTCAAGATGACACTGTCCGAGTTGAAGAGGATGGAGTATCTCTGTTGGGCCGCTTCTCCTTCAATGTTTTCACCTTCATCGCGGATTCTGAAGAAGTGTTCCTACACTGTCGCATCCGCCTCTGCAACTTCTGGATGGCCAAATGCACCGTGGTGAGAGAGGGAGGAGAAATGGGTAGATGAGGTCTTCTCTTTGACATTGTAGGAGAAAAGCCTTGTTGGTTTTCAATGGGAAAAATGAGAAAGAATCTAATTATTTCTTATGCCTGTTCCTTAACAGCTGCATGATTTATTTAACAAGTGCAGTGATTTAGGGTGAATGCTTTCCTAATGGGGTTTCAGCTATGGCAGGGGTATGCAAGCTGTGGCTCTGGAGCCACATGCAGCTCTTTCAGCCTTCTGCTGCAGCTCCCTGTTGGCTGATCCCACCACTGGCTGGCCCCTCCCTGTCACTCCTCGCCTGGCCTGAGAAGGTAAGGCTGATGGCGGGGGATGGAGACTCGCTCCATATTGACAGGTGACTGGGTGGAAGTGAGTGACGTTGAGTTGGCCATGCCTACCCAGTCACACCGGTTGTTAAATTATTGGCTTCTGGTGTTTTCTTTTCTGTGGGAAACGGGTTCAAATGGCTCTTTGTGTTTAAGGTTGCAGACCCCCTGAGCTATGGGATGTGATGAAGAAATGTGGGCTCAAAAGAGTCTGTGCACTCCATCGCTCTTAGCTTGATTTGACCCCAAAACATGAGGTTTCAGGGCCAAGCCAGAGTCCTTCTAGAGCGCATAGGGCATGGTCCAAGTTGTCCCATTTCTTGGCTGGGTCTGTGACACGGCCAACTCACCATGACCAACTTGCCACAACATGTTGACCATAATGTGTTGGCTGCAATGTATTGGCCATGGTGAGTTGGCCATGGTGAGTTGGCTATGGTGAGTTGGCTATGGTGAGTTGGCCATGACAACTTGGCCATGGTGAGTTGACCATGATGAGTTGGCCATGGTGAGTTGGCTGTGGTGAGTTGACCATGGCGAGTTGACCATGGTGAGTTGACCATAGTGAGTTGGCCATGGTGAGTTGGCCACAGCAAGTTGCCCCATGCCCTGGCTCTGAAGCACAGGAGGAAGGGCTGCTACCTAGGCAGTGGTGAGATATTAGAGGAACTTGAGCCTGGACCAAGGAAATAATTTGTGAAAACAGCTTACCCAAGCTCCTTCTTAGTTCACATGGAACATAAAGTGAGGCAGCAGTCCTAACCTATACAGGTTGTCCTCGACTTACAACCACAATGGAGCCCAACATTTATGTTGCTAAGGGAGAAATTTGCTATGTGAGTCTTGGCCCATTTTATGACTTTTCTTGCCACATTTGTTAAACGAATCACTGAAGCTGTTGAACTAGGAACACAGTTGTTAAGTGAATCTGCCAATTCCCATTGACTTTGCTTGTCAGAAGGTCGCCCAAGGGAATCCCATGAAGCTGGGACACTGAAACCATCATAAATATGAACCAGTTGTCATTCATCTGAATAAATCACACGACCATGGGGATTTTACAATGGTCATAAGAGTGAAAAATGGTCATAGGTTGCTCCTTCCAGGGCCATTTGAACGATCACCAAATGAACTGTTGTAAATCAAGGACTACTTGTATGGCATTGGTTTCTTAGTCTGGTCTGTTGGGCTGATGCAGTTCTCTTGAACGAGATAATGGTATTTTTATTTTCCCTGTTTCAGAACTGCCATTCACCGGGCTCTGTGACTGTAGGAAGGAAGCCTCCATCAGCCATCATCTCGGCTGGCCCTTTCTTGAAATACAGTAGCAACCTGCTAGATCATGGTAGGTTACTTCCTGCCTGAGTGCATTTTGACTTCAAAATGTCCCCCATCACTGGTTCTATAAATTCCCTCTTTTCTTCTTGAGACCCTTAAGAAATCCACTTGAAACCAGCTTCCTGCAACAACAGGTCAGCCAGTTACAGGTCAGGTTACAAGGAGGGATGTGACCCTGATCAACCTCCCAAAGAGTGTGTGTCAACTCATAAAATATTTCAGGTCTCGAGCCAAACTTCCAAAACTTCAAAAGGATTTATTGGGAGTTAACATGCCAGCACTGCCTGGGTGTAGCCAACTCTGAGGTACATCATTCATTGTCACCCTTGACCCTGGTTTGCCCCCACCCCCTGGGTGTATCGTAATTCATATTCTCCAATGGGACACATCCACAGCCAAGAGCCATCAATCATGCTCTCCAGTTAGAATTTTGCACGGCAAAAGCTTCAGTCACCTAGTTACTATCTTTGAAAAGCTATTTATGGAATGCACTTTTGATTTCCAAGCTGCCGCACTGCTCTTTCAAACCTCTTTCCCCCCTCCCTTTCCACTGGCAACTCTAAAAAGACCATAGAAATATTTTATGAGTTGACATTGTGTGGGATAAATGTGCTTTGCTTATGTTTTAGTATGAGTGGTGGGAAAAAAATCCCAGCTACCGATTCCCAATCTAATCCATCACTTGTAACCTTCAAATTAAAAAAAAAAAAAAAAAAGGTTACCCAACTCTGCACAAGATGGATTTCAAATATTATTTTTTTACTTATTTATATATTGAGGTCAATGGTGGGCTGCAAAAATTTTAAACGACTAGTTCTCTGGCTGGGTAGGCATGGCTGGTTGGTCATGTGATTGGCTGGGTGATGTCAGTCATCAGATCCAGCCCCGCCTGTTGGCCAATCACCTCAAAGATTCAGCCGGTTGGGGCTAATCCCACCACTGGCTAGCCCCACCCCCACCCATTTTTCAGCTGTTTTCAGGCTGTTTTTTGGGCCATTTTAAGGCTGTTTTGGGGCTGTTTTCAGGCCATTTTAAGGTCATTTTTGGCCTGAAAGTGGTTTAAAAACCAGTCTGGTTTGGGGCAGTTTTTGGACTGTTCTTTGGGACATTTTCAGGCCATTTTTCAGCCATTTTTGGCCCAAAATGGCCCAAAAATGGGCGGGGGCAGGGCCAGCCTGTGATGGGATTTGCCGGTTTGCCGAACTGCGCCTAATCTTAGCTACTGGTCCACCAGAACTGGTGCGAACCGGCAGCAGCCCATCTCTGGGGGAGGATCATTTCAAACTATTTATTTATTTATTTATTTTTATTTTATTTATTTTGTCAAGCGATTATAAGGTAACAGGTATAAGTAATAAACATAGTTATCAATACATCAAATGGATACCTATAAGAGAAAAAAAACAGTAGGACAGGGGCGGTAGGCACATTGGTGCCCTTATGCATGCCCCCTTAGGAAAGGGGTGAGGTCAATAGTAGACAGTCTAACTATCTACAGCAGGGGTGAAAACTGAATTTCATGGAGGGCCATACCAAAGTTTTGTTTTATGACCTGGGGGCGTGGCTAGGGGGCACGGCCAGCATGATGTCACTTGTGTCGGGGGTGCCTGTGATGGCCTGAGTGCTCGGCCAGCGAAAACGGCCTCCCGAACTCCATTTTCAGCTGTGACGGCCTCCTGCAACCCTGTCCCAGTGAAAATGGAGCTCGCATAGGGCACCCGTGGCCCTCCCGAGCTCTGTTTTCGCTGGCAGAGGCACCGCGGACCGGTCCTTCGCTGTTTCTAGGGCGACCCCGCAGGCCCGATCTATGCACCCCTCAGGCTGGATCCAGCCCCCAGGCCTTTTGAGTTTGACACCCCTGTTCTTCGGGCAGACATGGGGAATCTGATGCTTCCACTTCTTTTTCTACAGGACTTCAAGTTGGCCAATAAAAGCTGTAGCCCTTCATCTTTCTATTTCTATTCCCCAGCACTTTAGCGTCTTGCTGGATTCCCTGCTAGCTTCTTTTCCTGGGGACACGGCTGGATGGATGGAGATGGCAGACATGAGGCCCACCATTCAGAGAGTATAGTCTTGATTGACTCAAGGATAGAGAACATTATAACTCAGGGGGGTGGAAACGTTCTGGGTGATGCCAGGACAAGGGAGTCATATTTAGACCCAGTCTTGATTATTCAATAGCTGAATGCATGTATAATTAAAGTTGTAAAGTACACAAAATTTCCTTTCCTCTGTCCTTTCAATACCGTTCCATGCTTTTCACGGCTTTTAATGGGATGAAATTACTAGTGTGTTGGAGCAAAAATACACACAGTAGATCAAACTGCACCAGTGGTGGAATTCAATTTTTTTTTTTTAACTACCGGTTCTGTGGGCGTGGCTTGGTGGGCGTGGCAGGGGAAGGATACTGTAAAATCTCCAGTCAGAGGTGGTATTTGCCGGTTCTCTGAACTACTCAAAATTCCTGCTACCGGTTCTCCAGAACTGGTCAGAACCTGCTGAATACCACCTCTGCTGCGAAGTCCCATTCCCTCCCCACCCCACTAACCCGCTCTCCAGCTCTGTTCTCCTATGCAGGGCAACCAAAGAAGAGCCAGCAGATCAGCTGGGACTGGGGAGGCAAAGAATAGATGGGGGTGGGGCCAGTCAGAGGTGGGATTTCCCAGTTCTCGGAACTACTCAAAATTCCTGCTACCGGTTCTCCAGAACTGGTCAGAACCTGCTGAATATCACCTCTGGATGGAGATTACCTGCTGGTTGGTGATCTCTGAAAAAGGGACTGAACACACCTCCCATTGTCGTGCCCCTAGTCACTCCTTTCAGGAGATCTGGTGTGGTCTCTCCCCCCACCCCAAAAAAGAGGAAGACATTAATTCCCCGCCCCCCCATGCTGCAGTAGGCAGTGTAAAATAGAGGCAACCAAAAAGAGAAATTGGGACGAAAAGAACAACAACACAATAATTTATTTGTTACACTTCACATATGGCTAACTGTTGACATTTTTTAGCCATGATGTTAGCAGATCAAAATCAGATGCAGGGTTGTTGCAGATTTCAGAGCAACAGTGATAAGAGGCCTCTCAGCTTGGCAGGGAGGCTCTGGAAAGAATTGGCCTCCCATCGCCACCAGATAAAATCAGGAACAAACGTAGGTGAATCACCACAAACGAACTCAAGAAATTGGGGCAGGGAGGTTCACGCGGAGGGGAAAGTTCTCTGTAAGTCATAGGCAGCTGTAGAGGATGATAAACAGCACTTGGTATTTGATGGGAAACAAATTGGCAGCCAGGGGGACATTAGACGACCTGCACGGATGGGTCCCTGCAGGTTTTTAAGCCATAGTACAGAAGTATCGGCTGTTGGTTTTAGGCCAATGTTTCTTAACTTTGACAACTTTAAGATTTGTGGGCAACTCCCAGAATTCCCCAGTCAATGTTTTAAAGTTGCTAAAGTCATGAAATCCCTTTCTTCCTTCCTTCCCTTCCTTCCCTCCCTCCCTGCCATAGTCCATCTTACAGTTTAGAGTCTTCTGGTGGTCTCCCACCCAAGAACCAACTGCCTCCAAAGTGGCAATTCTTGGCACAAAGGCAACATGACCTTTGAGTTCTTTCAAAGACCAAACTGAGTGCTTTGTTCCTTCCCTCCTTAGCTTCATCCTACTGAGCAAGCAAAAAAAAGCTTTGGTAAATTCTCCCTCCCTCCCCCCCCTCTCGCATCTCTCCTGCTCTCGTCTCTCCCTCTCCCTCTCTCTCTCTCATCCCTTCCTCTCCCTTTTCTACCATCTTCTTCTCTCCTTTAAGTTCTGAGCCCTAGGAAATTAGAGTTTGCTTCCTGGAGCGTGTCACCCTGTTGACCTCTCCCCGACATCCCTGCTAAGGCGCCACTTGGCTTGGCTGGTTGCCAGGGGTGCCCTCCGAGCCCCTTCTGCTCTGGCTCACCCGGCTACAGCTGCGACCGCTTGAGAAAATGCGGAGTGAATCATCCCATTCTCCAGGACTGGCCTTCGCAAACTCATGAAATGAAATGCTCTCTTAAGCTCCCAGTTCTGCAGGGCTGCCAAGCTACCATCGCTCCTAGCTCTGTTTCTCTCTCTCTCTCTCTTTCTTTCTCTCTCTCCCTCCTTCTCCTTCTCCTTCTCCCTCTTTCTTTCTCTCTCTTCTCTCTTTCTCT